GGCATTCCGGTTTATTCTTACTCAACAAGTTTGATTGATGTAGGTTTACCAATTCTTAAGACATCTGCTTTAACTTCAGTGGTGTCTTGTCTCATGACATAATTCTGCATTAATACATGAGCTGTTGGAAATTAGTCTATCCTGTGACAGACTCTTGCAGGTATGTTTTAACACTATTCATAGAGGCCTACATTTACTCATTGCGTTTTGCTCTATTAGAATACCAACGGCTTTTTTTTAGTACTGCAAACTTGAGAACACTCAGGTTAAAACGAATGTGGTATAATGAAATGGCCTATTTCCTACATATTTGTTTAGCTTATGCTACATTGTGTCAGGATGGCCGAGCGGTCGAAGGCGCCAGACTCAAGGCATGATTCCTTCCTTGCTTCAGAGGTTTCTGGCCTCTCAAAGGAGGCGTGGGTTCAAATCCCACTCCTGACATGGTAATCCCTTTGAATATGTGTACTTCAGCCCAACTTTAACTAATAAGGCACTTTAAAAACATCAAATCACAAGCTTCTATTTCTGTGCTTAGAAAGTTTTGTTTTATCTATCTATCTATCTATCTATCTATCTATCTATCTATCTATCTATCTATCTATCTATCTATCTATCTATCTATCTATCTATCTATCTATCTATCTAGTACAGTTACAAGAAAAAAACTGTTCAATTGAGGACAATGGGTCAAACAACACATTGGATGTAGATTTTCATAAGATTCTTAGCGTAATCAGGAAGAAGTTCATCCCACAGGGAAAGGTAACAGGCAAATTGCTAGTGCATTTGAAAAAGTAGGAAAAGCTACGTGGCCCTCAGATGACTGCATTTTTCAGAGGCAACTCTCGTAAATTGTGAGGGCAATGAATGGTCTGTGGCAAAGTACTCAAGAAATTGTCTCTATCTATCTATCTATCTATCTATCTATCTATCTATCTATCTATCTATCTATCTATCTATCTATCTATCTATCTATCTATCTATCTATCTATCTATCTATCTATCTATCTAAACATCTTCTGGATCAGTATACTCTAACAATTCAGGTTTTGCTTCATGGTTAGCTTAGTTGGTAGATCACAAAATTAAATTAATTTGCAACTTCAAAGGGAGGAAAAGTATCTATCTATCTATCTATCTATCTATCTATCTATCTATCTATCTATCTATCTATCTATCTATCTATCTATCTATCTAGTACAGTTACAAGAAAAAAACTGTTCAATTGAGGACACTGGGTCAAACAACACATTGGATGTAGATTTTCATAAGATTGTTATGAAAAAGTAGGAATAGCTATCATCTATCTATCTATCTATCTATCTATCTATCTATCTATCTATCTATCTATCTATCTATCTATCTATCGCAACATCTTATGGATCAGTATACACTGAGACTCCAGGTTTGAAGCCTGGCTAGCTCAGTCGGTAGAGCATGAGACTCTTAATCTCAGGGTTGTGGGTTTGAGCCCCACATTCGGCGTTTCGGTTTATTCTTACTCAACATGTTTGATTGATGTAGGTTTACCAATTCTTAAGACATCTGCTTTAACTTCAGTGGTTGTCTTGTCTCACGACATAATTCTGCATTAATACATGAGCTGTTGGAAATTAGTCTATCCTGTGACAGACTCTTGCAGGTATGTTTTAACACTATTCATAGAGGCCTATTGCTAGTGCATTTGAAAAAGTAGGAATAGCTACGTGGCCCTCAGATGACTGCATTTTTCAGTGGCAACTCTCGTAAATTGTGAGGGCAATGAATGGTCTGTGGCAAAGTACTCAAGAAATTGTCTCTATCTATCTGTCTATCATCTATCTATCTATTATCTATCTATCTATTATCTATTTATCTATCTGGTGTTTGAATTCTTTATATTATTTGTGTATTCATTTTATCCAATCTTTCTTTAAAAGGTTGTTGATTGAATAGATGTTTTTGTTTCCATCAAAATGACAAATTGTTTCCAACAAAGAGGATGACAGTAATAATAGATTTGTTGTAGTGTTTAGCTTTGTGATAATGTTTCATTATTCATTTTACATTATTTAGTCAAT